CCCCCCAGTGCTTTGTCTTTCTCCATCATATCTGTGAGATACATCACATTCTAAATCTCACTCCCCCTGCGTACCAAACCCTCCCAGGGTACCACGCCATCCATCCTACTCTGGCTACTACCAGCACATGTACATTAGAAATGTGCACATCGAGGTCTTTGGTTGAGTCAGGGGCATTGCTCGATTTGATTCATCTGGCAGGATATTTGGAAATGTGCAATAAGGAAATATCCAGCTTAAGACTTTTAAATGGTGAAAGAACAACAGAGCTGGCAGTCATCCTGGCGCGTTGAGCTCCAGGGTGACCTGGGACACTGCTAAAGAAGACAGGGCTGCTTTCTGGAGAGTTTCTGGAGGACGTCACCTGCTCCTCTGGTTTCAGTTGCATGAGGCGGGTACCCCAGGAGGCATGCAGTGCTGAAGGCAGGTACGGACTTCGTGTTGGTCTCCTGGGCGTTGGCTCAAGTGACAGTCTGTGGAATGGTTTGTCTCTTCCCTTGTCTGACTGTGGCTCTGCCCCGTGGTTTCCTAGCCCCTACTTTATTCTATCCAGTTCAAGCTGTGTGCCGTATGGCTTGAATGAATATAGGGAACTCATGTTAATTAAATATGAGTACAGAATGAATGACTACAGTGAACACATATTGAAAAATGTTTCCTTTTTCCCCAATCTTTCCCTCTCTCAAAGGCGAATTCTTCTGCGAGTGGCCATTTTCTCAATCTTTCCAAAAAAGAGCATATATATCACGTGGAAATTGTGAGTTTGTGTTTATGCCTCATTATTTAGGTATATGTAGAAACCCCCTAATTACTTTGAACTTGAAGCCTTCCTAATTTATCTGTGACAAGCTTCATTTTTTTTCTTCTTAGACATAGAGGAGAAAAGAATGTCATACAGAAATGTACTGACCCTTAAATGCCACCACGTAGTCATCTGTGGCAGAGAACAGCTTTGGTCATCTTGTCCACTTCCTAGAGACTGTTATCTTTGAATCACCATAGAGACCCATGATAATACAAGAGCTATAATGAA